ACACCGGCTTAGAAGTAGTACTGACTGTTGTTTATATTTTAAGTAAAAAACAACTTAAAATTCAGTCTCATGCAAAGCATATCAAGACCCCATAAACCAACATCAGTTTTCTTATTTACCTGTTTATGTGGTTTTTCCCCTGAATTTCTGCGCATATACATATGTTTATATATACATATATATCTCCATGCATGGACAGTATTCCTGCACATAAAAAAAAACTGTCCAAGGCTCTGGTTATGCCAAAGATGCAAAGCTTCACTTTGTAGGTTAATATGCTTATACGAGAAGACTTGCAAGGCACCATGACTAGTCATCCAGATAGAATCACCATCAGGTAACAAGACAGTATAATATAATATAACACAGTTCAGATTATTTGTTACTCGTAAGTGACATAAACTATACTCTATTTGCTACTCAGTATTTCTCTATGTACTTTAGTAATTGTTTATCGAATGGACATGTGTTAATATTTTCTAACAAAGGGTGAAAAAAGACTTAATGGTATTATTAAACTAGATACAAAACTTGTGTTTTGGATCACAGAGACCTCTCACATAAGAGTTTTGGTGGTACTTCTCAGATATTTCATACTTGAGATGAAAAGTCATATGCCAGAATCAGTTCTTTCTGATTTCTATAAAGAGATAACTGGAATTTTCATTAAAACTTGATTTTTTTAGAAGCTCAATATGTGTATGTTTAGATATTTGACCAAACTGCCCACATTTATTCTGAGATAATCTTAGGCTTCACACTTCAGCATTAGTGATTCCTTTCTTTCTGTTCCATTAATTTGTCTTGTGCTCCAAAATTTGAGAAACTTGAGCAGTTGTCCAGCCAAAAGACAGCAGCTGAAATTCTGATCTAGGTGGGATATAAATGGTCTAAATGGCCTTTCCACTTTTAAATGTTACTATCTCTGAAGTCCAAGGGCAATGACACTTTGCAGCATCTAGTGAAATTTGTGAGCATGGTTTGTGAGAGGGAGAAAATACATGCTTTCAGTGCAAGTTTGGGATACACTGCTGGCAGAAAACTGCCCCGAGGAACTAAGATGGGTGGAGGAGAGTGAGCCCATCTGCCCATGGTTTTGTGTTTTTTCCTGTGAGATGAGCATCTCAGATCATGCAGTGTGGGCAATGGATGTCCTCCCATCCTAGCCACCCTGCCAGAGTTGAATGGGAGGCAGGGGGAGCATGGGAGCAACTCCCCAGTCTGGAGAGTGCAGGCTCCGCACGAGGGTGACTTGCTCGCAGCTTTGGTATCTGCCGCTTACTAATGTGAAAGCTGTCTTTTCTTCCTGAATGTGCATTTTTGTCACATGAAGGTTTCTAGCAGCCGTGTGCTGGTGCCCAGCTGTGTGTGTTGTTCAAGCAGTGTTATCAGTTCTCATATTGCATCCCACCTGAGAGCAGGATCCCTTAGGCCAGCCTGGCCCTGTTAAATCAATGGGTTAGGATTAGTGTTAGAGAACAGCTCTCAGTGTCTCTCACCAGGAAGGTCAGATAGTGACTTTTATTCTTAATTTCCCACATTGAAATGCTTTTTGAACTTCAGATACAGCATGAGGTTGGCATAGCTCTGGCAGTGAAGACAAAAAGCAATTGTCCTCCAGCCTGGAGCTTCAAGGGTAGAGAATTTACAGCACTAACAGGGATTTTAGTATGTGGGGATGGAGAGAAGGGTCTTCAGGGTGGTTGAGGAATTAATGCAAGCTGGAGTTTGAAAGCAATTGAACTAATTTCTCACAAGGTATCTCTGCATGCCAAGGGCCAGCCGCTGTGCCTGGTGTTCTTGCTATATTAATGCCGTATTTCTCCGGGTTAACCCACTTACCACGTACCCTTTATAACATGCCTCTGCATCAAAAGTGATAGAGACTTACACTTTGTTATGATTTTAATGTAATTCTTTATTCATTCTGAAAAGAATGAATAGCTTGCTTTTCTGTGAAAGGACCTGAGGGCCTGGGGTGGGATGGAGGAGGATGAGAGGCATAAGCACGTGCACACATGTGTTTCTGAGGAGGGTTCTCCCAGGACAAAGCCTTCGTCCTTTATTGGTCCCACTGGGATTAACCAGGAGCAAGAGCTGAAACGTGTTTGCGTGCCCAGTACAGCCTGCTTTCTGTCATGTACTGGGAGCCTTTGGGTCAAACCCATGGGTTTTGACCTTTGGGTCAAAACCATGTCAACTTGTACCATGCCTGCCATGCCCTATAGGTCACGCAGAAGACAAAATGCTGCTTGAGCCATGCTGGCTAGGCAGTTCCATTTTCCCCAAGATGCTTTCGTATGAGAGGCCTGTTCAATCCTGGCCAGCAGACTGACTCTGGGGGTGGGGGTGTCTGGCTTTGCCTGGTCTGCAGCAGTGCTGTTCTGGGGGATACTGGCACATGCTGCAGGGCTGTCTGTCTTCATCTACCTCCTTGTGCACTCTGGGTAGAGATGCAAAGCCATCCTCAGGCAGCTCTTGTGGGGATGCAAGCACCATCTCACACTGACTCCACATCCCTTGCAGTAGTAAAGGCAATAGAAAGTGACTGGGTTCTCTCTGCCCGTACTTTGCTGCATTTGTTTTTTCCTACTTGCCAGATTGCCAGGCAGTTCTTGCTTTAAGTGCACAGGACTCTAGTGCAACCACAATCCCTTGGTTAGATCATGTGGGGAGTGGGTCCCTCTGCAAGCCCTGCCTGGGAAAGGGGAGACTTCTCACATCTATGCAGCTCATAGGGGCAGCCTTGGTGGTGTGGTGCTATGGATTTGGTTAGGCTGCCCTGATCTATATGGAGGGATGAGAATGATAAAGGGGACAGAGGAGAGATATCGTTGTTTTAAATCAGATCTGCAATAATGGCTTGTTGTGTAAGAGTTCAAGCACTCAAAGAGGTGTGTTCAAGGACATCAGTGCATTTGTGCCAAGAGGAATGTCTTTTATGGTAAATTAACTCCTGTTAAATAGAATACTTATTCAAAGGGAAACGCCATAATTTAAATCTGGCATTATCAGCTTTTTGTCGTGTCTGGGGTAGAGGGAAAAATGATAGGATTTCAGGAGTATTTTATACCGGATATAAAAATAAGTTTTGCTAATTATGTTAACCCCGAGTTTGTGTCATTTGTCTTTGCTTAAATGCATGTCCTTAACTTATCTTATCAATATATACTTATCAGTGTAGTTTGTAGAAGAGAAGATGCATGACGGTTGTTTGAACCCTGGAAATCTGAGGGAACTGGGCAAGAGTAGCCAGCCAGGAACCAAACTGTGGGGATGTGGAATGGATTCTTCAAGGATTGCTGCGTTGGGCTCTTGCTGCTTCCTTTGACATTACCTGTCTGGTACTGGGTCTCTCCTTCCCCCACTCATCCTTCTGCTTCTTTTTGTTTGTAAATTTATGGGAATTGCAGCTGGTAGCCTTGGCAAGCTCCTCTCATTAAGAGCCCTCTTTGAAAATGGGCTGTGTTTGAGCATTTCCCTAATGAGGACAGGACGGGGTTAAAAAGTGACCATTTCATGGTTGACTTGAACCTGCTTACTTTCCTTGATGTGTCGTTGTGAAATGCCTGACGTGAATAAACTCTCACTTTGGGCAAGGAGGAAGCTGGCAGTCCCTCCGGGACGCCGCCGGGGGCTGTGCAAGGGCAGCTCGGCCGCCCCTGAGCGCAGCGGCGGTGCTGGGGGTGGGGGCCGCACACACCGGACGACCCCTGAGCTGGGCACAGCATCGCAGCTCGCCTCTCAGGAGCAGAAATAAGTTTCGCTCACTGTTTTCCCCCCTTTTCCCAGCTCCCCTGGGTAAAGCTACCCCGGGAGGATGAAACCAGACCCCCGCACCCTGTTGCCGCCCGGGAGCCGGGATCCCTTCGCCATCCCCGGCCGCAGCCTGCGAGACATCAGTCACCGGCGGTGCGGGACGGGGGAGAAGCCCGAGGGGCTGCCTTTCCCCGTGTAACCCCCGGAGGGGGGTGGGGGGGCGGGGGGGAAGCAGAGGCGCCTGAGCCCCGCCGCATCTGGCAAAGCCGCACCCCGAAAGAAGGAAAAGAAGCCTCTCGCAGATGGCGAGAGCCCCCCCCCCCCCCCCCCCCCCCCCCCCCCCCCCCCCCCCCCCCCCCCCCCCCCCCTTCGCCCCCGCAACTTTCTCCCACCAGAAGAGCGGGAAAATGAGGGAGGGATGTTTGCGAAACGTGCTCGTTCCTTCTGCAGCGTTCGGTGGTAATGAATGCAGAGGGAGGGCAGAGGAAGGGGATCTGGTGGAGAAGGAATGTGTTTGCAGGAGAAGGAGGAGGAGTGTAAGCGGAGATTGTGTAATTAAATAATTAAACAAAAATACTTAAGTCTCATTTGGGGGGAGAGCTGGAATAGGGTCCACAGGGTGTAACCGGTGAATTTTTAAACTTCCAAGTTTTACAGAGTCAGGGGCGGGATGGGGGGGGACACTCACGGGCACCTTGAGAGCAAATCGGATGAGAGCGGCAGGGGGAGATTTATCGTTTGAATTTTCAGGAGAACATTTTTATTACGGTGGCCATTTGGAAAGCAGTCTCTCACCATTGCCCGCAGAGCGAGGACGGGCGGAGGCTGTCGGAGGAGCCGGCAGGCCGCACCGCCCGCTCTGCCCTCCCGAGCGCGCCCCCGCCTCGGCGCGCCCCCGCGGCACGGTCCCGACCGCCCGGCGAAGTTTCGCCTGCCATCTCTGTCCGGGAGTCTCTTGCTCCGCTCCGGGCTGTAACCTTGAACTTTCGAAAGCGTGGTGACTGTGTTGTGTTATTACGGCAGCACCACCAACCTCTGAAAAGAGAAAAAATACACCCATCCCCCCCCCCCCCCCCAAAAAAAAAGAAAAAAAGAAAAAAAAAAGAAAAAAAAGAAAAAGAAAAGAAAAAAGAAAAAAAAAAGAAAGAAAAAGAAAAAAGGATTTTAAAAAAACCAAACAAAAAAAATTCTCCCGCCCACCCCCCCACCCCCCCGAGTCCTTCCCCCTCATCTGCAAAACAACCAGCAGCAGCAGCAGCAGCGAAAGCAAGACTCCTGCGCCGCCGACTACAAGAGGGTTAAAAGTGTAGATTGGATTTCACCCCGGGAAATCTAGCACACGGAGTGAACTTGAATCTTTGGCTATTTAAGGAGGACTGGAGTTTGTTGTGAAGTTGTGGTGATCCAGAGCAGAGCCCCGTCCTGATTGATTTCATCTTCCTTGAGTCTCAGATGACTGTAAAATGAATAGATGAAATTATTCCTTTTTGAGGCTTTTCTTAGGGGCTCTCCGGGCAGCGTGTTCTCAAAGCGAAGTCATGATGTATTCTCCAATCTGTCTCACTCAGGTATAGACGCTTTTATTTAATTTATTTGTTAATTTATTTATTTTCACGTGTTTGTTGGGATTTTTTTTTTTCAATTTTTATATATGTGTGGGTTGGTAATGAGTCATTGCGAGTAGTTGTAACGGGTTAAAGCACAGTCGTAACTGCTTGTCAGATCCAAACTCCTCTCTCAGGAGGGAATATTAGAGAATAAACTGTACCACGCCATTGTTTTGGGGAGATCCATTCAAAGTGTCACCCGTAGACAAATACTGTTAATTGTTGGTGCATAAGAAGTCAAAGGTTAACAAACTGGAAATGGGCATAATTATGCTTAAAAAATCGTGTTTGAGAAGTATTGATTTGATTGGAATCAAACGATTTGCGCTCTTTTCAGCTCGCGTGTTTACACACAGCCTAATGAAAGGGTTTGAAAGGAAAAGTGCTTTTTTTGACAGAACACGACCACTGGCCGGTGCGAAATAATCCCGTCTTATGCTTAATTAGTAATATGCAGGCTGCCAGCAATGAGGGAGAGATGAACGGGGATGACCAAGATGTGTAGTGTTTTCTCCTTCGGTTATACAAGGGCACGGCTTTTTTCCCCCTCCCCGCTAAATTGTGGTGCTGGCAGAGTAGCGTGCCCTCTCCCCAGCACGGGGAGAGACCGACCCTTTTACTACAGCCGCGCTTGCGGCCGCGTTCCGGTCCCGAGCGGCGGCTGTCAGCGGGACGGCGGGAGGGGAGCGGCGGTCGGCGCTGCGCGGAGAGCGGAGCGGAGGGCTGGGGGCAGCCCGAGCGGGGGTCCCCGCAGCGGCAAAACGCAGATTTTGAAACCCAAGGGGTTTCGGGAGCATGTTTGGGAAGTTCGCCGGGTGGCCCTGGAGCGTCCTCGCCCGGCGTGCGGTATCGGCGAGCGACCGCCGGGGCACCGGAGCCTGTTTCGGACGGTAAACCCGGTCTGCAAAGCCCGGGGATAGTTCTCAGCTTTCGTGAAAGTCTGTCTTAGGAGGATGTGATGTCAACTGATTAAGCGATAACTGCCTGCTTCCACATTGGCGCAACAAATAGCTAAAGAAGCAGAAAATGTGAGAAAGTAATGTCTGCTGCAAGGCTACTGCAGAGAGGCCAACGATGCACTTACATTTGCACCGTGAATAAAGAAGTGTGATTTAAGTTATTCCGCAGTTACAAACCATTGTAATTCGAAAGGCCTGAAGTATTCATAAATTGTTATTGAAGATGGAAACAATGATAAGGCTTATTCAGTGATTGGACACAGTCCTGCAGTTTTTTGGCTGACACATTTTTTATTGTTTATATTTTGTTTGGCATCTAAATGTGATTGACTTAGATATGGATATTTTCAGTAAGTAAACGTGAGCTGCAGTGGCAGAAAGCTGGAAAAAAGTGTTATTGAGATATTTCTTCTTCAAATGACAAACATAGGAAGCATTTTGTCTAATAGATATGCACGTGCTTGCAGGTACACACATAGAAATAATTACTTGGCGTGGAATCTGTGGTTAGAAAAATTAATTCTGTGTAGGCTGTCCAGCGTGTGAAATTATTGACAGGCAATAAGACCTCTGCCTCAGAATATAAACCTGAGACGACAACTTAAGAAAGCATTTTTTTTGCATTTGAGACACAGATTTTCACAATCATCTCTTTTACAGCAGTAATTAAGTATCTTTTTTCCTGCTTTAATGACTTTTTTCCCATTATATTTTCTTTTTGGACTCACTGATGCAATAAGTTTCCTCATTCTTTATAAATTTGTGTTAAAATACGGCTTTCAGGTTATACAAAAATGCTACATTGTACTTCTACTGCCATTAATCCAAGAAAGCAGTTCCTGGCTTTTGTGCATTGATACTTTCACCATAATATTTTACAATCATGCTCTACCATGTGCCATGCAGAGACAGTTCCCATTTGGTGATACATACATGGAACATGGTTGCAGCAAATTGATTTTACTTTGGAATCTTTTTTTCTACCTGCTTGGAATGATAAGAGCTGGTTATAAATAATTTTTTCTCTACGTAAATTAAAAATTAAAATGATGCCAGCAGTGAGAACTTATACCTTGCATTCTTTTTTTTGTTTAAGGCAAAAGATTGATTCATCTCACTTTCAGTAGCAAGTACATTAAAGTATTACTGTCAAAATTGTTCCCTTTACTGTATTCTCTGTCTCTAGGACTCTTGCAATGCACATTGACTGTGGTATTATATGTTCAGAAGAAAGTATTTTGGTAAAAGTAAACACAGAACACCTGTTTGGACAGAGCTATTTGTGAAAGTGGTGGTTCAGTTTGTGCCGAGACAGCGCTGAAGCACGTTTTAGTAACAAGTCTAAAATCCAAAGTACAGCTTTAAGACAAACCTTGGCAATTTCAGTGTTACCCATCACATTTACAATCAAAGATTGGTGGGTGAAAATAACTCTAAGGTAGAAGAAAACTTACCAAATGCAATTTAATTTTTGGGGCTCCCTTCCTCTCCTTCCCATATACCTCTTTATGTTTTGTAATGAGTGGTAACTGCATTTATCTGTCTTGCTGAGGCACTAATAGGATGCAGTTACTGCAAGCTTGTTCTCTTGTGATATTTTTGCCGTGGCTTCTTATGTTACACTAGTCCAAAATCTCAGAATGTGTAGTATTTTCTTTTGCTCCTATATGTTGTTTCACTAGATATGAGAAAATCCATGCAGGGAAATTGAGTAGATGAAGTTTCCTGTATAAAAATTCCATACTTCTACCCACCGTATTTATTGTACAGTCCTCAGTTTGAACTTTCATGGACTGATGCAAATTTTAAAAGTGAAAGATAGGAGAAGAACACTGCATATCCTCTTTACCTTTTCAATAAAGAAAACTTGGCCTATCTATTGTCATATAACAAATGCGATTTTTTCCTTTCTTTTCTACATAGCTTTTCTTTTCAAGATACATAGATACTATATAGTAACTTCGATTTTAATTTAAATTGCCAATGAACAATTGTTCACCTGAGCTATTTGAAGTGACATTTGAAAACCTTACTTTTATAAATCACTTAATTGCAAGAACAACTGTGACACATGACCAGGTGCCACATAAAAACAAAAAATAATTCACTATTGTCTATATGAATATTAAGGAGGAAAACCAAAATTCTGTAGGTATCTTTTTAGGAGATTCCATGGAGAATGTGTGTGATTAATTGCAAATGTCCATTTAGGATCATTTTTATGGGCACTTCCCCATGTCAAGTGGTATTTCCATTTGAAAGTACTCCAGGTGCACAATGAATAGCTCAAAAAATCCGATAAAATTGCTTTCAAACAGGATGTTCTTTGCTGTGTTTCTCCTCCACACTTTTCACCTATATTTATATCTTTAGGGCTTAACAATACAGAGAAAGAAAAGCCTGAAGACAGTTTTTAAAAGGTTGGAGTTTCTGGTGTGTATGTTTTTGGGGTTTTTTTCCCCCCCTCTTTTTGAAAAGGAAACATTTGACTACTACAGAATTAGTATTACTGTAATTTAAACAGTGAAATTCTCTATAAAATTTTCATAGATATAAAATGTTATAGGTTATTATTGTTAATACTATATGCGTTACCTCAAGGCATAGTCAATCTGAAATAATTTATGATGCTCTTCTTCAAAATTGAAAGTAGACGTGCAGTATTGTACTAGTGTAGAATATGTCCATGTTTACTTTATTGCCATTTGCAGTTATAAATGCCAAAGGCTGTTTAGGGGAAATCATTGTATTGAGGCAAAAATTAATTTCTCCCAAAGCTCTTCAGCCACCTGCCTTCACCCCACCTTTAGCCCCAGCTGTTAGAATTTTCAAAATCTATAGTAAATCTGTTTTATTCAGCCTGAAATGAATTACAAAGATTTAACACTGTAGAGCCTTTATGCTTCCATTAATTAAAAAAAAAAATTGAATACTTAAATTAAGATGACTTCTGTAGGAGGAAAAAAAACTTTCTTTAATAGTTACAATTGAAAGGGAAAAAAGCATGGCAGCAGAAAGCATATGAAGATAGGAAAGTCTTATCATAGGCTGTGGTTGCTCAGAGCAGTGCTGCCTTCCCACACAAAGAACAGATTGTGGTTTAACTCTTTCCACGGCCTAGTTTTATGTGCCAGTATAGTATCAGAATTGTTCAAATCTGTGCTGGAAACTACTAATCAGTTTAATTGTTGTCTTTGTAGGTCTTTGTCAAGCATCATAATGTAATGAAATTGTTTATATCCTAGAGTATCTTCCTATATTGCTTCTCTGTTTTTTTTCCCTTTTTTTCCCCCCTTCACTTATTTTTTTTCCCTATGAAGTTAACATGATCATAGATAAACTGCTTATAACTTTTCTGTTGTTTTCTGTTTGATTTAAGGATGGTTAGGGAAGAGAGGTAACTAGATCTAGTGGGTTTTGCAACATTCAGGAAATTTTGAAGTTTGTTTGAAATTCAAAGATTTAAACATGGAATTCTTTGCCTGAAGCTTCACAGTCTGCACTCTATAATTGAGACCATTAGTTATACTTTCATCATTTTACCTAATGGAGTTAATCAGCCTATTGATTAAACATAATTCATTCCTTGTCTAGCAGCGTAACTAAAATAGTAGTTTGTTAATTGTATTCTTGAATATAATTGCATAAAAAAGGTTCAATTTTAGTTTGATTGCACTGTGCCACTAAGTATGATGAGCAATCTGCGTGGTATTTAAAACCAAATATCCCTGAACACAGGAAGAAAGATACCTCCCGTAAGGTCTCCCTTTCAACCCAAAATACAGTAATGTTTGATAAGCAGATTGCAGTGTTTTAAACAGCAGACTTGTTAATGGAAAATAAGTTTTTGGAGAAGGTCTATTTAGATATTAACATGGATGTGTAGGATGGTACTTTAAGCAGACAAACCAAATTAATTTAATTGCTATAGGATGTGCTTGTAGACAACAGCTAAGCATTACCTCCTTAATGCAATCCATATTGCTGCTAGGCAGAAGATAAGAACTTGCAGGTGAAGCCAGACAACAGAAAGGGATATTTTGAAACTGTAAATAAATTGCATGGATTTCACAAAAGCAGCATTGGACCAGCGGTGGACTCGTAATGTCTTTTTGCCACAGCATGCAGAAACACAAAGAATGCAAAGTTTGTGCCAAGTTGCCATTTTTCATTGTACACCTCAGATTGATTTTTAAGGGGTTTAGAATAATTGCCACATTCATGTGATCGGTTAACAAATTAACTGACTCTATGGGGCTTCAAAATTCACAGTGGAACTACTGGAAGGACATAAATGTAATTTTTGTTCTCACCTTCATAAAGTCTAAATTTTACAGAGTTTGGGGTTGGTGGGAGGGAAGCGAGAAGAGCTGAAAGTACAGAAGCTTCTGTTCAAGATTTGTCTATGACAAGATATGTCTTTTGCCTGCTTTTCCTTACTGTATACTGGTTTCTCTAGTTACCACCACTGGAATGGTGCTGTTTCAGTGCTGGAATGTTGGACGTTTGATAAGAAAATGGATCAAGTTTAATGGCGCATGCTCTTTGTGCCACCAGCAGTCTCTTGCTGAGAGCATGCTCCAAAAGCGGGAACTGTGTGGCATTACACTGAGCATGTATATGCTTTGTGTTTCTGTGCCACAGAGAAGAGAAATGAAGTGTGGCATTTGCCTCAGCCTTCTGAACATTTCTGCTCAGATTTTTTAAAACAGTGTAGCATCCTCTTTGTGCAATGGTACTTTTCTTGATGCTAGCTGTTCACTCAAATATTTAAATGTTAGGAACAAAACATCTCGGTAGCATCTCTTAAATTATGTTTTCTCTGCAGTGTTGTGGGATGGAATGAGGGGAGGAGTACAAAATAAAATTTTCACATGGTTCTTTCAAAGAATGAAATATGGGAAAAAATGTGATTCTCTCTGCACTTTTTGTCTGTTGCCTGACAACAGTAATAATTTCATAAAAGGTGTTATGCAGAAATTTGCGTAAATTTTAAGTGTTTATTCTCTTTGTCTCATATTTCACTTAAAGATTTTCAGAAACGTTTCTTGATACTGCTTTGGTTATGAGAACTTGCTGACTTTGAGTTTTCTTGTTCTCTTCTTTTTTTTCCTTCACTTCTTTCCACAGGATGAATTTCACCCGTTCATTGAGGCACTTCTTCCACATGTCCGTGCAATTGCCTACACTTGGTTCAATCTTCAGGCTCGAAAACGCAAGTACTTTAAAAAACATGAGAAACGAATGTCAAAGGATGAGGAAAGAGCAGTCAAAGATGAGCTACTTAGTGAAAAGCCTGAAATTAAACAGAAGTGGGCATCCAGGCTCCTGGCCAAGCTGCGCAAAGATATTCGCCAAGAGTTCCGGGAGGATTTTGTGCTCACAGTTACTGGGAAGAAGCACCCATGCTGTGTATTGTCCAATCCTGACCAGAAGGGCAAGATTAGGAGAATCGATTGCCTGCGACAGGCTGACAAAGTCTGGCGTCTGGATCTAGTCATGGTGATCCTGTTCAAAGGCATCCCCTTGGAAAGTACGGATGGAGAACGTCTCATGAAATCCCCACATTGCACAAATCCAGCACTTTGCGTCCAGCCACATCACATAACAGTATCAGTAAAGGAGCTTGATTTGTTTTTGGCATACTACGTGCAGGAGCAAGGTAGGAAGCAGATTGTCATGTTTCTATGTTAGTATGTCAGACTCTGACTCCAAGTAGCCCTGTTTCCCCTGTGGGCTGGCTTCCAGTGAAACATTTTTCTGTGGTCTATGGATGTAGTGTGGCTACATATACATTTGTAAATCAGCATACGAATATACTTAAACACACACACATTCCTGCAGACCTGTGTGATATGCATATTTGACATACGTGCCTCTTTCAAAAGAGAGAGACACATACCAAGGCAGTACTTTCATTCCACGGAAGTTGCCTTTTACTTTTTGTGAAAAAGTGGCAGTACATAGTTGTGACTTCAGAAAACATTATTTTTTTCAAGTTGTGTTTTTAAAGAAAAACAAAACAAAACCCCCACCCCAGTACTATTAAGGATAGATGCAGGTATATGCAATTGTACAGTCACAATAAATACTACAAATATTTATTATTGTCTTTTTAGTTATAAATAATCAAGAAGTAATCTTTAAACTGATGACTCTGCTATCACATTGAAGAGCAATTGTAGACTTTCTCATACCTATGAAACAAAGCTTGAAAAACACTTTATCGTGGCTATATTTCTTGTAAATGCCAACTAGAATCAGAATTGCAGCATACAATATGTAATGTTTTATTCATATTTTACATCATTAGCTCATCTTATCTATCTGAGCTTTAAAGCAAAGATCCAGCTCATAGCATTTTGAGAAATTTTTATGAAGAGTGTATTTTCTTAATCACACTCATATACCTTTAATTGGAAGGTAATTGAAATGTGGAAAATTGCAGGAGCTCTATGGAAAAGCTTCTTAAACTTAATATTACAGAATGCAAATAAAATCATATCTTCTGATAATCATGTGTCAGGGGGAAAACTTACTAGCCATATTTCGTATATTGGATATTCAATAACAATACCATTAGGCAGATTCCCTAAAATTGTAATTGGCTGTAAGTTGATAAAGGGGTTTTTTTGTTTATTTGTTCGCTTTTTTTTGTTTGTTTGTTTGTTTTGTTTTGTTTGTTTTGTTTTTTTCCTCTCTGATACTAAGCCTTCTGAAATACCTTTTCTCTCTAAGGGTAATTTTGGTTCTTTCTGGTAATGATACCATCTTCTAAGTGTCTTTGTAATGCTGCTGATCAGCAACAAAAATGCATTTCTTTTTTAGCCACAGATCTCAACGAGGGAAAGTTTGACCATCTGCAGATGGTGGGCCATTTCACAACTTGGCCTGGTAGTAGTTAGAAATGGCCTGCAGAAGGGCAGATGGCCGGCTGTTATCTGATGCTCAGTAAATAACTATGGGATTTAATTGGAAAACAAATTGAATTGATTTTGTTAGTAACTAAAAAGTAAAATTGCTTGTCTTCATTTGGTGTATTCTCATTCTTTAAGAGGAGAGATACACAATGAAATATTTCTGTTTTAAGTGAATTCTCCTTTAGCATTTACTCGTGCAAGTGAAGAACTGTTTTCGTGAACGTATATATCAGGTTCCTTTTTGTTGAATATTTGTTATGGAAAAAGAAATCGGCTTTTTCTTCCCCGTCACTAGTATTTTTTTGAGTTTTTGTCTCTCCAGAGCAGTAGACACATTTAGGTATTTTACAGCGACTTTAAGTAGCTGCGGAGTCTGGTAAATCTGATCCCAAATAATATAGGAAGAAAGATTTCTTTGATAGCATGAAACAAAGTAGCTTAATTACAATTAATTTGTACCTTTAAACTCCTCTTGTGGAAAAAATATCAAATTATATTTTGAATGCATATAGCGTAAGTCATGGCTTACTGATTAATTCTATGGATTTACCTGTCTCTAAAAGTCAAAACTACAAAGGGAGGCAAAACAGTTTAAGTAGCTCTTGAGCCAAAGAAACTGGGGTCATAGTACTCTTAAGACACTGTTGACTTATAAGTTGTTGAAAGGCAGTAACTTGAAGTGGGAAAAAGAATTGCAGGGCATAGCTGATTTTATTGATTTAAATGTATTGAGAATATAAGTTTATTTAAAACACTTTTATCTAATTGGAAATGAGGAAGTTAAGCATGTTGCAATATTATAACTTTCAAAGTTACACAATGCTACTTTGAGAATATACTGAAAATGAAACTGTCTAATTTCTGTATACCAAGTTACTCTTAGAAGACCTTTTTGTTTATTGCTAACTGCATGTATTTTGTATGTCTCACTTCTTTACTGTAAATCTTCCATTAACATCTGTTGGCTCTCTTCTTGAAGAAATCATATTAAGCTATGTTATTTTTTTTCCATTTTATCAAACTTCGATTATCTATACTCATTGAAAGCAGGTTAATTGTGGCACTTTGTAGTGTACGTGATTGAGAGTGCCAGGCTTTGTGAAAGATATGCATTAAGTCAACCAAAATGCTGCATAACACGTATCCCGTTTTGCTTTTTATTTATCTTTCAGAACATATAAACATGCCTAATAGCACCATGTAAAAACTAAGTGGAAACATAGAAACAATTAAATCCCTGAACAAAATATGAAGAAGGAATTAGCACATAAAATGAATAAAAGGGCCAAGTACTTTGCTTTTTTGTTGCTTTAAAATAGAAGATTAGGGGGAAAAAAGAGGAGGAAGGATAGTTCGAGTGCCAGTGATGGTTGCCAGTGGCACCAGGATTGGCATCAGACCTTCTTTGTTTAGCCTAGGATGTCTGTGATTTGTTGGTTGGCATCCGCATTGCAGTGCAGAGTAATGTTACAATATATTGACAATTTCCAGATCTAGAAGTGTCAATAATCTTTTCAGTTCTTAACAAAAAGAGCTTCTATTTCCATGTCTGCCTTGAAAGAAGAAATAAGGACTGATCTATGAAGTTCTATCATTGATGAACTTCCTCAGATGCGACTTTTCGCTCATCTCAAAATTCAGCATCTGTTTTCCCCTCTATTCACTTTCTGCTATACTCTTAAAAAAAAGAGAAAAAAAGAAAAGAAAAAAAGAGGATTGACATAGGTTGCAATGCTGCTCCTTTGACTGAAATTGAGGAAGAAAATGTGAAGTATCACTGTTATCAATGTTTAACATCAAAATAATCCTTAATCACAACATGCTTCTATGGGGCTCTGCTTGTTGTGTGTATCAGGGGCATCTGTTTATAAAACCCAAACTTGAAAATGGTGTGACATAGTTTCTATTGACAGAATTGTCTTTTTTTTTTTTTTTTTTAATTTTTTTTTCCTCTCAGCATCAGCGAATGTCTATCATTTGGTATGAAATGCATTTCAGTCCATAAAATCATTTGATGGTATTTGATTCAGCGCAGCGCTTTTGCTGTGTTCCCGTTGCTACAAGAACCGCCATTTTGTTTGTCGAGTGCCAGGAGAGGGGAAAAAAAAGGCAGACAATGTGCTTGATGCCAATAATGGTTGCCAGTGGCACCGAGGTTGGCATCAGACCCTCTTTGTCTAGTTGCTGAATGCCTTTGATTCGTTGGTTGGCATCCGCATTGCAGTGGGCACATTGGAAAGTTTTTGACAATCAGTGAATGAAAGCTGCAGTACTTGTTTGCTGCAACAGAACCAAGATAATATAAATCTCTCCTTCAAATAGATGTTTTACTTACTCTTACGGAGACTAATTTTAAAAAAAGCTAAAAATTGCCTTATTTTTTTCCTAAATCATAAAGTATCTATAGCAGTGTGCCTTGTCTGAAGAATTCTGAATTCCCTCATCATCTCTGCTACTTTTTTTTTTTTTTTTGCAGCATAAATCAAATGCAAACTTGATGTTTGATTTATAGGTAATTCAGCATATTCTGAATGAAGCATAGTACACCTTAGGAAATGCTTTGAGAGTTTAAAGAACTGAAGCAGAGGTACATGTAAATGTTAAGATTTTTGAGTGTTTTTAGTGAATATGTCTTTCAGAGTACATTTCTCTGATCAGTCATGTTACTGTTTACACTCTCCTTTGTCCTTGTGTAAGGGTGATATAATTGGGGGAGCCCACGTTCCCAGCTGTTAATAAACTCTGGAGTCAGAGGAGGAGAGGATCTTTTAAACTATCTTGGGAGTGGGAAAGAAAATAGATGCAGATGTCCTAAGTCCTGTAGTGTTGAGGCACTCTTTGTTTTTTAACTTCTTACACCATCAAGGTGCTACCACAGCTCCAGCTATGAGACTTTGTTACCGGGAAATTGTCAAAAAGAATAAATAATTTCTGTTGGAAGTTTCCTAGATAGTTAACATTAATATTGCTTTCCGGTTAACCGCTATTATCTCGTTAATTAATAAGAAGGATTAGCAGCTCTACCCAAAGGGCTGCACAGAAGGAAGCCTGGCCTATGTGAGTCCCTGAGTTGCTAGACTGTGTCCTGTTCCTTGAGGATTGGAGTGGGGTGGTCGGCCAGGCAAAAAAAAAAAAAGGAAAAACAAGAGAAATATGAGAGAAGAGTGAGGGCACTTGCCAGCCAAGGGAAGAATTTTGAGTGCAGGACTGTGGTGCTGAGCTGGCCCTGTGCTGGGGAGGCTGGCAGTGCCCTTCCCTGCTGCAGGTGCCATGCCCTGCTGGGGGGACATGGGAGGGGGCACGGGCACACCCCAGTGTCGTGCCCACTCTCCTAAAAAGCGAGCTTGCAGATAACCTCAGCTGGGGTGCAGGGTGCTGCCGCCGCATCGAGCTGAAACTCTCTTGCACTTAGTTTAATGCCAGCAAACTGGCAGTGCCTAGCCAAGTGGGGATATCACTTACTCAATTCAGACAGTCCTGGCAATGTGTGCCTTGTCTTACTTGAAAAATGTGCCCTCATCCAGAAGAAATTGTAATTCTTTTTTTAACATGATATGTGTGAATTGCAGGACTGGATGGGTTTATCAGTGGCTTGATCTTCTAAAAACTTTTTGAATTTTGTGAATTTATGTCTATAGGGAGCTGAAATTTTGAAAGAGGTTTGCATAGTAGTTTTCATGCTAAGTTTTAGTTTTCATTCTGTCTTTAGAGAAAATTTATTGTGTAGCCATTCTGTTCATAT